TAATGTAATTTAATTATCTCATTCATAATATGACAACAACTTAGGAACAGTGAATAGAACCATTGATATGTGCCCTATAATATAATTTAATAATATGAAATGCATCACTAATGTATAATTCAAGTACGTGTTTAATGGACAGAAGTTGAAGCATGAGTGTAGATTAGTATTTTAATTTTACATAAATATTGCTAAAAAATATTACGTATCAATGATTTTAAAGAACACAGACAAATTATTTACTTAATATAAAGAGTAACGAAATCATACAGTTCAGCAAGAAACATGCATATGAGGTCAAAAAATTAAGGAAATTATGATATTCTTTGGCAAACTTGGTCAGTTTTGAAGCTAGAATATTTTCATTTTCCTGCCTAATTTATTTTGCTGAATTTGCAAAAATATTTTAGCAAGAGAAATGTTTTGCTTATTTTCTGTGAGTTCAAATATTGAAGCAGAAATTTTTCATTAGCCATCAATTGTTTAATTTATTAAAAAAGTAAATTTTTTGCTTCAAAAGTTTGTTTAGAAAGGAATTGATGCAAAGTTTTTAACATCTTTAGAAAAATTGATGCAAAGCTTTAGAATCTTATTAAAATTGATGCAATAAAAACTAAGCAAAAGAAAATTGATGCAAAATTTTGAATCAAAAAACAAAAATGATGCAAAAGTGAGATGCAGAAATTTTATATTTTTGAAAATCGTTAAAATAATAAAAACATTATTCAAGAGCATATTTTTATAGCAATTGCTGTTATATAGCTGTAAATCCGGACATCAATGTCATGTTGTGTTATCCAGCCATGAAGCATCATTTCTTTCATGTGCTGCTAAATATTGCTCAACAAATAAACTAAAGAATTTTAATAAAATAATATCTTCAAGTGTATCATAATGATTATTAATTACAAAATCTATTAAACATTGAGATTAGTATACTATGTAATAAGTATGATTGATTAAAGTTTGTGTAAACTCATACACATGTGTATTGCTGGACATGTAGCAAATTAAATTAAAATTATAACATGATTAAAAACCCGTGTGTTGTGTTATAAGAACTAAAGTTGAGAAGAAATGAAAATTTTCCATCTAATCAGTCTTCAAAATTGAATGAATTTTTTTTTGTTTTATTTAATTTTCATTTTTTTTTTGCTACTTAAGTAAATTTTATTATTTTCTCCTCTTAGCGCAAATTTATTCCTTAAAATCAGATTAAATCACCGTTTTGCTTTTCTTTCTTAATAAACTTAAATGCTATATAAGCTGATTTATCTTTCATCATTTTATTTATTTTCTTTTTTGCATTTAATAACCAGTCTGAAAATTATTTATTACTTATTATTTATCTTCTGAAAAATTACTTTTTTTGGGTCCATTCATTGATTTTTTTCATATCTCACTTTTTGTTTTGCTCACTCAAAAGTTCATTTATTGAGTAAATGTTTAATTAACTTCCACAATTTCTCACATTTAATCCCTTTTCATTCTCTACTCTTTTGTTTTTATATCTGTTCTTCCTTCCTTTCCTTCTTGTAGAGGAAAGAAAGTTTTTGATTGCTTGTGCTGACTTTACTTATGTGAATTGATCTTATTTGCACTTCTTTTGTAATTATTATACATTGTGTGGTCGTTACATGCCTTAATGGCACAGGTATTGAGGTGAAAGTTTTCGAATTTTATAATTTTAACCTTTGAAAGAATTTGCTTGAAAAGTTTTCAAGTGCAGAATAGCTTAGTTGTCAAAACAGTTTCAAAGAGGTTAGGAATCACTTTTATAATGTTAGAAGCAAGGTTAATTTACTCAAGCACTATTAAGGTTATATCACCCTATGGAACTTAAAAGCTCCGATAGTCATTTAATATGCAGTTCATATGAGCTCCATATGACTCCATATTACACACATACTTCATTTGATATTCTAATAATCGGACATGAAGACCAACTTGAGGTCCGAGTAATCAAATCATCTCGAGTGAAGATAACTGCAGAAAACGTAATGACTAGACGTGAATTCGACCAATACCACTCTTTTTTGGAGCATTCCGCAAATTTGACATTAGTCGACCCTACGTCTAGTAATTAACTGGATATCATGTCAAGTTTGGCACTTCAAGTTATCTCAAAAACCAAAATATTAAACTTTAGAGATTGCATCTATTCCAGAATGTAAAATTATCATTAGCTAGAATATGACCATTAAAATTGTGCAATGACATTGAGCTATTACTCAATCTAATGAAACTTTTAAATCCTTGACATAAATTCGAAGCACAAATTCATTTTCTATAGAATTCAATTATTAAGATGCTAGACAAATAAAGTGAATGAACTTTTAAGGATCAAGTCACTTGAGTGAAGTCAACACAATGAGATTGTTATGGAAACAGATAGTTAATGAATGAGATTTATCATCTTAGCTTTATTCATTCAGTGTGTATATGTTTATTTTTTTTATGCATTGTATAATATTATATTGACAATAAGTATAAGAGTAAGACGTATAAGATACAAAAACTGATAAATACAGTACTAATAAGTATAATTATAAGGTATATAGTAGGGAATGTGTATATTCATATTGTCCATGGTTAATTGTATTTCTTCTTGTTCTTAATACATTTATGTTACTATAATTAATAATATTATTATATTTACTTCTTGTAAGGTACACGTTGACTTACAATATACCTTAACAAGCTTTATTTTAATAATCCCCAGGAATTCAATAAATCAGCATTCCTGTTATGCTATCATACAATTAATTATTCAATGATGATTAAATACATATTGAATGAGAATTAATGAATTATTCTTTTGCTTTTTTTCATATTAAAAACTTACACATTTATTTGATAACATTTTCCACAATTTAATTTATTTTTCTTATCTTTTTCTTGCACGTAATGACTACTTAATTTCGGTTTTATTGATATCACACGTTAAAGTGCCATACATTATATCTTTGGAAGGAGATTTGCTTGTTTTCCTTTATAAAAGCTTTGGTAGATACTTAAATAGTATGAAAAGAATGAGTCAAGAATTTAAAAAACTCTAAGCTTCATAAGATATCTTAATGATATCTCAATTGGTATTGAAATACAGTTTATCAAAGACGTTTAATAGAACTGACATAACCTCTAAATTCATGGAAACTTAATTGTACGGCTAGTTCGGTAAAACAGCATCAGATCCCACGGGATCTCACTTGACATTTCTTAGATGCAAAGCTGATAAAAATCGACCATAGTCAACTAAAACATCCAAAATCTTAGACAAATGAATTAGTCGACTCGAGTACAATCTAAATCTTTGATCAGCTTTACCCTCTGACATATTCTAACCGATGACCAACAGAATCGTATCGAGACATCCCGAGTCCTTAGTATAGGTCTCGGGTCTCGGTCTCTTAAAGTCAATTCTTCCAAAATTCACGTATTTGAAGAAAAAAAATCCGAAGCTTATTTCAAAATAAAAGCACATATATGAACTCATCGTATACTCCTTTTATTAAGCATAGATCGAGAATCAGGGAATTCCAAAAGTTCATCAATATAAATGAAAACAAACAAAACCCGCTTCAAAATAACTTAAAGTTAATAATCATGTGGACTATTTGATTTGCGAGTAAATTGAAACTTAAGTCAGTTAACTTTCCAGAAGTTATTTATCCATGAATAATATCAACAATATTGGACGCAAAAGTCAGCGTGATTAAGTGAAAGAATTGAAAGTTAAAGAAGTTAAAACATTTGATTTTTTTTTTCATTTTCACAATTTTCATTTTTTTTTTTGTTTCTTGTCATTTCCTGGTAAAAAAATATTCACATTTATGTAAATTACAAAAATATCAAGAACGATATGTAAAGAAAATTCAAGTGCCTTTCATGCTCTGCCATGTCATGTTCAGCAGTTCTTTATCGTTTCCTTTTTTTGTGTCGTAATGAAGTTATTTTTTGATTATTATTATTTAATTATTTTAATGAAGTTTTCATAACTTAGCATCATTGTCTTTCTTAATGTAAATGTATCTTTATGCACTTTTTATAATCTTATTTCATGTATAAGTATAAGTTAAGTTAAGTGAATATATGCTTGCTTGTTATTCCTTATTTTATTTTTATTTGATATGAGAAAGCAAAAGAATGGAACATCAGAATATGTTATGGAGGGTTCATTGGAAGGTTTATGTCTGTTGAACGACTATTGTAAATGAGATTGCATTCATCTTAATATCCATTAATGCTCATTCTCAAATTGTTTACATCCAGGAATTTGTCATCATTTGGATTTTTGACATTATGTTCTGTCGAAGGGGGAAAACAGCTTTGTGGAAAATTTATTCCGTGTTCTATTATGTTTTGCATATTAGTTTTATTCTTTATTTATTCTTGCCAAAAAGCTAATGAACTACAATAAGATTTTCTCTATTATTACATAAATAAGCTCTTCCTATTATCTGCAGCAATCCGAATGCACTTTTAAGCAATTTCATAAGTCTCTTTCCATTATTATTATTATTATTATCATTTTTACATTTGTAGCTTAATGGGAATGTATGGGGTGATTAATGCTTTAAAATTTTAAATGTGTTGATTACATGCTGGATGAGTATTTATGGATTTATTTTTTGGATGAAAACATTTGAGCAAAATTTTAAATCTGACGAGCATGACTTTTTTGGACGTTCCTTTGTTTAAATATTTTGGTGGACTATTCTAATAATTTGAAGCATAACTTTAATAAGCACGAATTAAAATTTTAAAATGCGCAATTATTCTCAAAATTATGACAACTTTGGTAGTTCTGGTGAGCTTCAAAATAAAAACAAAGTTCCAATTCCAATAAAATTAATTAACAGATTGAAACCCACAAATAACAACACGTGCTGTTTATTGATAAGTTGATCAACATCAGTAATCAAACTAATTTAATTCTATTCGACAATTTTTTTTGTTTCTTTTAAAATAGAAATGAATATTCATTTCCGAATTCTTTGGAAATTCAGCTTGTGCCAAAAGCATTTGCTTAATACTGCAAATTAAAATTTTTATTTAAAGACGGTTTTTAAGGAATTTTATAATGTTTTGAGGCATTTTCTAATTCCTAGAAACGCTTTTAAAAATAAAACTTTAATTCCATAGCTATAAAATGAATGGAATTAAATCAATTTTGCTCCCTAAACAACAGAACTGTATCTTTTTGACAAGAGAAGCTATTGTGTGTTTGTTAAGAACACAATTTGAATGCTCTCGAATTACTTTTCACCTTTTAATTTCATTATTCTATTCATGATGTTCATGGACAATAGACATCATAATAAAATCTGTCAAAATCAAATACAATTAATGTATTTGTAAGTCCAGCTTCCAGCAAATTTTATTATAATTAATTCGCCTTCTGAACCCTCCATTAATGATGTTTTTATTCTATTAACATTTTTTTTGATGGTTGTTGTGCGATATAGACTTAATTATATTCTTTTGATATTCCTCTTTTACATCTTCAAATACTGAAGATAAAGCATAAAGGATGAATTTAGTAACAGAGTAGGACAATTCAAAGAATCGGGTTCGTTAAACGACTTAATGCATTTGCAATGAGTTTGAAATGGGTGGTGGGGGTGGTGGAAAAGAATGCGTGCCTTGATTATTTGCACATAATTCATTGACAACCATTTGATATGGACTACTATGACTAATCATACCTGTGAATGATGATGGTGGTTGATTGAAATGATTTATGGGCTGATAAATTGCTGATGATGACGATGTCATGGAAAATTGCTGTTGTGAGTGGGATTGTGGCATTTGTTGTATTGGAGGTGGCGGTAATGGTTCATTTTGAATGAACCGTTGTGAAAAAGTGTGATGACCACTGCCAAGGCCAGTTGTTGCATACGGTGAATCTCCAGTTTTGATTTGTGGCATTTGACGTAAATGATAACCAGCTGTAGAATAACGAATGTTGTTTGGGAGCGTTGTACGTTGCTTTTGCGGATCATTAGCAGACATTCGATGAATCTGATGAGCACCAGGCATTAAAGGCATAGTGTTGCATTGCGAGTAATCGATTATTGACGGCTGCTCATTAACCATGGTGCTTCGATTATGTGGTAATGTATTGCTATTATTCATGTTATTCCCGACATTACCACCGTTCATTCCTTCTTTGAAGCTCAACATTTTATGATTATTTGTAATTCTCCCATATGGTTCTTCCTCAATCACAGCAGGTGCTTTAACAGGTTTTGGAATTCCTGGTTTTGCTCTTATAAGCACTTCATCTTTATTCTCTTCACTTGAATGAACACCACTTGAAGATTCTGATAAAGCTCGTTCAGGTGGTGATGTTGAACTTTCTGTCGAATTTGTATCCGATTTTGGAGTTAATGCTTCATTGTTAGTTGCTGGCATTCCAGAATCTGCTCTGCGCAAAAATCTCGGGGTTGATGTCTTAACAGCAATAAATTTAAGCATTAATTTGAATTTCAATTGGATATAAATTTTAATAATAACTTACGAGATGTTCAGAATGAACTTGAACGGTAACTGGTGCCATGGGACTAATCATATGATGCTCGGATGAAACAACATATCTCTCATGCGAGTATACAGTTGCAGTCGTTGTGTGTGGTGGTTCTAAATCACGAGTCGATGCATAGGTCACTGACTCATCTCGAACACATTCTAGCAATTTTCCCTCCTCTGACGTATCATCATATCCATTATCATTACTGTTGCGTTGTATGCGCTGCAGATTAATGACTTCATCATATTCACTAATTTGCAGTTGAGTTGTTGTCTTTAATGTGGCATATTCACCCTCGTCAGCTTCCCCCGAATGGTTGCCGTTGGGACAAATCGTCGATAAGATGGATCTAAATGGAATTAATTAAAGATGAAAGGATGTGAAAAGCTAATTTTGGGTAAAATTATGAAAATATCCTTGATAAAAATTCTACTGAGCATTTTTTGAGATTATTAAGGTAGACATAGATACTATTTGAGGATATTGAATTAAAGAAGGTTCTTAGAAATGAGAAAGTTTGAGATGTCCATTAATTCTATTTTAAAATCATCTATAAGCACGCACATTGAATGGAAATGGACAAATAAGAGTAGGTGTGTCCACGGAAAAAACATTTAGTTCCTTTGATTATTCAAAGATTTTTTTCAATGAATTTTCTGCGAAGGCAGAACTGAATAAACAAAAATTTAAGGAGATTTGAATTTAAGGCTGATGATTTTTTATCTATTATAACTATAGCTAGCTATATGTAAAGTTTTTGAATTGGATGAGAATCAAACATGTGCTCTTAGAAACATTAAATGGAAGCTCCCTTGTAGATCCACAAAAAAACTTTAATTTGATAATTTAATGAGAGCCTTTGACGGATCCGTGTCAGAGCTCTTGCTATTTGTATCACTATCACCTACGTCCATGACTAGCTCGTTTAAAATCCCTATAAGTATCTAAAAGCATTCAAAAAAATTCTATTAAGGTTCAGACCCCACTTAAAGCTGCCTTTGTAATACGAGCCAGCATTCTTGACCTAATTATTCAATTTTTTCATTATTATCCTCATGCAAAAAGAGTCTTTCGGTCCTCATAACAATGCTCAGTGAAATATTTATGAGAAAATTCTTCAAACATGAAATTAGTGTCACAGCAAAATGAAGAAAAATAAAACTCATTAAATGACAAGCGCAAAAAAATCAACATAAGAAAAAATGATAAAAAAAAGAATAAGAAAGAAAAACAGAAAAAGAATTTAATTTAAAGCCAATTAAGCATGCTTCACACAAAATAAGAGATGGAATTTTGACAGTAAAAAAGAATAAATGAAGAAGTTATTATTTAATTAAGTGCTTAACTAAATTTTTGTCATGAAAGGAACAAATAATATGAAATATAAGAATTCACATATGAATGTTAAATGTTAAGCATGTAAAAATAAAATTACTGATAGTGCCAACATCGAAAACACACAGGTGTTCTTAAAAATTCACTCAATGATGAAAAAAGCATGTGAATGAACATGTAAGTAGTAAGGAAGAATCACACAACAGAGAGAAATAGCTTTTTTGAGTTTTTACCGCTTGCCATCATGTTCAATAATATCAGGTATTAAATTGCGATCTGTTAACGTACTGGCAACTTCATCTGTAAAGGTTACTTTTAACTTTGGAGAACTAGGCCAATAAATCGTTTCCTCTTCTTTCTTCACTGGACCATTCAACTGTCGTCCGTTAATGTTGAGTAGTGGTTGAACTGCTTCTGCACGTGTCTGATAAATCGACTCAACGAGTGGCAATTTAAAAGCCCATTGACGTTTCGCTGTTAATGCCAACCAGATGACAATCCATAAAAAGATGTGAATTATTGATGTCATTGCTAGTTTTTTGATAAAAAAAGGAGACAAATAACAATAATAATCAATATTGAATGTTATGTTCATATACATAAGTCACGAATGGAGAGCTGATGATAAGCTTAAAATTGGCTTTCAATCAGAACTGTTTACTAGTTACTGATGCTTTTTAATGTTGAGCAACTTTTAGGGACAGTAATGGAAGCTTGCATTCATGAATACTTCTATGTGAAATGGCTTAGTTTAGACCACAGATGTTTAAACTTTGCTCAGTGGCAAATTAGTTTGATTACAACTCTACTTTTTGTAAAAACGTAACTGTATCTGGTTTTGTTCAAATCTTGTAAGCTACAGATAGCTAATGATTGCTTTAAATATGATACATAAGTGGTTGTCTTTTCCTACAAACTCTTGGTAATATAATAAACAGCTCATAACTGTGTACTAGTCACATAATAAACAGCTCTACTTCCAGTACAGACCAAAAAAAAACATTTAAATAATTTTCACATCAAATTGACGAAAGCTTCCTCCGAATTTGACTTACTTGCTGCAAAAATTGTCTTATCCAAGCTGATACGATAAATGACACTCAAGTCGTGAATTATTGGCGCTTTTACAACAGATATTGCCAGGATGAAACATAGCGAAGCACAATGCGAAAAGTACGACCATAAATCACCATCCTTTAGTGTAATCATTTGACAATCTCGGATTTTCGCTGACAATCTTGAATGTCCATAGAGATAAAGAATCATAGATGAAGCAATTATCAAAACATAGGCCAATAATGTCAAGGCTAATGTTACAATTCCGTTAAGCAATAATGGCGACGGTTGATTCTGCACAGGCATATATTGACCGACAATTTCTAATTTGAATAATATGCTTGTTCCCACATGTAGCATCAATATGTCAATACTATTTATGAGCATTTGAAGTGAGAAAATCATCGTAAAAGCCTTGGATGATTCCCAAAATACAGAAGGATATCGAACAGACCAAACAAGCAGTGCCAAAGCGAGATTTAAGTATTCTAAATTGGGAGATTTTTGGAACCAATGCTTCGGATCAAATTTATCATCTGTTCCGAGAATAGATTGTAAAAATCCACCAATTCCATCCAAATCATTTGACTGTGTAAAATTGGTTACAGCACCAATCAAAGCAGCTGGATATATTTCATCGAGCTTTTCTTCTTTGATAACGTAAACATCTTCGTTTATACTTGGCAGAACGTTGTCTAACAACAAAATATCATTTACATTTTCATCCTCTGATATTGACCTTTTTACAACTCTTCTTCCACTGGCATCTGTTGCTCTCATCCGGTACTCGTCATTTCTTAAATTAGGAATAAAGGAAGAAGAAGTCGATGACGCGGTTTCAGGAGATTTAACAATGTGAATCTCGCTATCCTTCCCTTTAATCTTTCCAATCACTTGCCTTGTTGATTCCGTAGCCGTTCTTTGCGTTGTTTTAGGACTCTCAATTTGCTCATAATTCCTTGAAATCGGTCTTATTTGTTCTGATGCTGATTTTGCATTTCCCTTAACTTTTTTACGGCCTGTACTTTTGTTATTGCCGTTTTCTATCATGTGAATTTCTCGATCAAATGAATCAAAATCGAAATCCTTTTCGGGCTTTATTTCTAGATTTGGGTCATCTGGTAAATCATCGATTTCATGTGTTGGTGGTGGATGTTGTCGGTGATGCTTCTTATGGCCATGCTTTCTGTTCTTTCCATGACCTTTACTTCCCTTCCCAACGTGATGCACCTTTTCGATAATTGGTGGAAAAGTTGCAAATGTGGGTTGAGTTGGAAAGGTTTGAGGATTTAAAGCCGTCGATAATGTAGTTTTTGGACTTGTTGATATCAATCGTGTCGGTAAAGTAGGTTCTTCAGTAAATAATTCCGGAACTGTGGGCATTTTTACTGTTGTTGTAGATGTTGAAAATGTAGTTTTTAATGTTGTTGTGGTCGGTTCTTCTGTCGTTGGACTTGGTGTCAATAACTCTGTGGTCGTCGAAGGTGTTGTCAATTTTATAGTTGTTGTTTTTTCGGTTGTTGAAGTTGTTGTTAATTTTTCAGTTGTTGTTGTTGGCAATTCGGTTTTTGTCGTTGTAATCCTTCGAGTAGTTGAAGTGACTGGCGTTGTTGTAATTATTTCAGGCAAATAAAGATCATAATCATCAGCATATGTGCTAATACGTATTGGAATTGAGTCAAGTAAAGTTGGTAGATATGTTTGAGTTGGTGTATTATATGACTGCAGACTCTCATGAGTCTTAAATGAGTCGTAGTCCAATGGCTCGAATAAATCATCATCATCTTCATCTTCATATTTATTCTCGTGCGATGCCGTAGCTGTATCATTCTGATATGGTGATGTATTGATAAATGATAAAATTACCAGTCTATCGTTACGATTCAATATGAAATCAATTTCACTTTTCCATATGTTATCTACAAAAAAAAGACGGCTAGTGTTAGCGAAAAAACAACGCATATATACGGAATGTCAAAATATGAGCAAATGTTTGCACATAAAAAATATGAGTATGGACATAGGAAAATGCACGAAAAAAAAATTGAACATATTATTTTACCTTTTGGCAGATGCTGATTTTGAATTAATTTTGCTTCCAATAGCAGATGTGGTAGTAGCAAACAAAGAGCAGTTATGATGTGTATAAATACAGATATCGGCACTCCATGCATCCATAAAGACCTCATTGTGCTACTATTTCCATCATCTTCAAATATTACTGGCTGTTCTGATGAGCACGTGCCTTTTCGCGCACTTAACTTGATGCCGTCATTCGCTAGATTTCCAATCTTAAACAATGCTGATGCCAAAAATAATGGCAAGAATAATAGTGTCATGGCACAAAAAATGAGTTGCATGTTGAGCTCTGTCACCGGTAAACCATTTTTCCATTTTAAAAGTGAACAGCCTGCATGAATTTAAAATATGCATAATGAAAATATAAATTTTAATTTATTTTATCGACCAGCTATTATTAACGAAAAAAAAAAACCTTTTTATTTTTGCACACAACAATAAATTTGAACGTCAACTCAGTCAATCAAGATAGTGAATTGAAAATTAAGTTGAAAGTATGCTTCTGACGCGCTTATGCTGGCGATTTCCAAGAGTTTTTGATTATGAATGTTACAAATTAAATAAAATTTTCAAGTGATGGATAAAATTATACAATTTTAAACGAATTTAAGAGACTTTCTAGTGTTTCTTGCTTTGATCCTACATATAATGTCTTTCTTAAGCTTTTTTTACTAAGTCCGTCAAGAATCAATCAAAATTTGTTTACATTCTCACTTAAATAGTTTAATTTGATTACCTAGCTCAATATGATGTCAGTCAGCAATGAACCTAACGACAAAGCAAAGTGCTGGCAAGTCGCTTAACTTACCATTCAATTGATAAATCAGCACAGATAATGAAAAAATTGAGCTTCACAAAATTCTATAACATTTTCAACTTTACTTCTGCTTTATACATCAAATGTAGCAGCTAAAGAGAATATAAATTCTGATTAAGATCAATAAAAACCAAAGGTTTCACATCCACTGATAAAATCCTTTGATCCTTTAAAAAAAATTAATTTCATTTCAAATTGATTTTATTTCTCATTCCTCAAGTCAGCCCTACAAGCCACAATAAAGATATTAGCATATAGTTTCAACTCAATACAATTTACATAATTTCCTTGTGTGCAACAAGACAACAACAATGAAAACAAAAATGGGGATAAGGAAGGCAAAAAACGTAAGCAGCTTAAGCAATTTTCTCACCTAAATATTTCTGAAGACCCAATATGATAAGATATCCTTGAAAAAGCGTCACTAATATACCGTACCACACCGACCATAATCGATTAAAATGGATATGTGATTTCCTTTTATTATCATCCTGTTGTGGCTGATTAGACATTGCTTTTGCATTAGATTGGCATCCAGTCGTGACTGTTGATATGTTACTTATATTATTTGGTATTGAACAGTCTGTCGTGTTAAGAAACGAATCATTGCTTTTATCGCAGAAATCTAATGTCCTTTCCAACGAGTGTGTATCGTTCAACGACATAATGGATGTGTTTAATTAATTATTGAGCTTTTGCTACCTCGTTTAAATAATTGATTGGTAAACTTCAATTCTCTTTTCTTGTTCCTCGTTTTATTGGTTGAATTCACAAACTTCCCGAAATTAATTTAATTCACTTTTTATAACTTTGTTGGATTTCCTCTCGAGCAAATTTGAAACAAAATAAGAACAGAAGCGATTGGTATCGAAATTTTTATCACGGATGGATTCTCTTCACATTTTATATCTTTTTGTCTTTAATTCACTTATTAGATTCCTTTTAAAATGTTCCGTATGGACTTTAATAATATAAATTAGGTTTTCCTTGCTTGCTGGTTTAGCCACCCTCAGTTCTTATACTGCATGAAATCTTATAGGGCTATAAAATTTACTTCTTTTCCTTATTTTAGCTTCCTTAAAATATTATACACGAAATCACACACATCTTCCTTACAGAACGTCTAAATGTAAAATGAGAGAGAAAAGAGTAAGTGAGAGGGGGAGAGAGACAGAAATAATAATAAAGAATGTTGTTGATATATATTAGGGGGGAACTAATACACTGACGGAAGCAGTATGAAAATCGATCGAAATTTTTATTTTATAATTTTATTCTTTTCCTTCATGCGATAGCATATACTTAAAGATGCACATTTGGGAATCGAAGGAAAAATTGCGTCGCACTGATGCGGAAGAACTATGTGCTGGGGGGTCATCGACTTGAATAAAATTAGTATTTGATTATTTTGATTAAAGTTTACATTTTTTGGAAAAACTTTTCAAAAAGATGCTTTTAGCAGGATTCTTCTAAAATAAGTAATTTTTTAAAATCAAAGACCCCCAAACATTTTTCTTATGATCCTCATAAGATTTATGAAACGTGACCCTTTCAATAATATTAAACATGTTTTCTATCCTCTGTTATGTTCATAATAAATTGCGCAATCGACTTGAAACGATGGAACTATAAACAATTTCCATTATTTATATCATTGCATTGCATTGCTTCATGCAGTGTCGGAATTTATGGAAGAAAATGAGATTTTTTAATGTGTATGGAGAGTAAAAAAAATTGCCAAAAATGAAACTCGTATTCACCCGTATTCACATGAGTACGGCAGGTGTTTCTTAATCCAGAAAAGAAAAGAAGGTAAGAAATAAGTAAAGCAAAAATGTGTGCACATGTGGGCACTTTTAAGAATCTTTTCTGGCGCATTGTAGTCAGGTAAAATAAATTGCACAAAAACACTTTGACTGACTGTGCTAGGGAGTTTAGCTGGGGGAATTAGAGCTGTTGGTTGGGATTTATGTAATGAATGTAGGTGCTATTACGTTGTGCTGTCGATTATGGTTCTCGTATTGATTTATTTTCCCAGAATAAGAAGAAAGTTTCACAAAGTTTTCGTCAACAATTCTTGAGAAATTTCTATTTTTCAATCCTGAAAGGTTTTGTGTTTAATCCAAGTTTCAAATTCCAAACTGGGTGTTAAAATTTTGTTTTACGAACTCTTAATAGATTTCTTAATTGCTTAATTTCAAACGGCTTTTTTAAATTAAAAAATCAACGGTTTTTCACAATTCAAAAATTAAAGAAATCTGAATTTCAAAACCATATAATGTTAAGAAATATTCACTCAAAACCATACAACAGTGTCAGAATGTGCTTGAGAACCATTTAAATGTTCAATATCAAAACCGTTCAATTTCTTTTTCTTGTGACTTAATAGCAACAATTAGCTTCGAATATTCTAAAAACACAGCACATTAATTTCAAATTCCTTCATATAGATTTTTCAGCTATAACAAGCAGCACTTCTAGTTTTGAAAAAAAGACCACGATTTAAATAATTCAATGTCATAAATTGCGCCTTAAGTTTTTACTTTATCTAAAACGCAACTATCAGCATGCTCGCACTTACTCTCATTATTTTATTATACCTTTTTGTTAAAGTTTTTAAGTGGAAGAATGAAGAAAGGAACGTCGAAAAGAGAACCTCCAATAAGAAGGGAGAAAAAGACAAAAAAAATTATTAATAAGCCTTGAATCATTACATAGGACATATTGCTGATGAGAGCAGATTTCATGCATCCCATATTGTCCATAATTGAAAAGAGAACTTAATGAGAAGGAAAAAAGAGTCGGTAGTAAGATTATTATAGGATATAAATAAATAGTTCATTATCAGGTCAAGTTTCTTATTTTACTGGATCTTTAAATGTTTCTGAGTTATTACGCAATTTCCGACAATGTAATGAAGGCATCAAATTTATGCATAATTTCGCACTATTCCGACCATTGCCCTCTTATCGCACAGGATATTTTCGCATGCATTCAAAGATCTTTATCCTTGCTAACACATAAATGTTTTTGTTTAAAACTTTTTTTAAGGAAAAACCGACAACAAAATACAAACACAAAGAAAAAGTGAAAATGGAAAAATCAATAACTTTTTTTCCTCTGATTTTGTTAAGGAAAATTTTTTGAATCACGGAAAATTTGAATAAAAATCGACAATTTTCACAATGCTTTCACATCAATCACATGACACTAGAACTTATCATTACATTTATATTAAAATTAATTTTAAATTTTGAGTTTTTCCATCACAAAAAAATTAAAACATCGGATTTTATAAAATTACTATAAGAAAAAGGACATTTTACTAACACAAGGATATCCTATCCTGAAAAAGGGATATTTTTCCTCTCATTCTCTGTATGCTATGCTGTGTATCAACACAGCATTTTATTCTCTCGCAACGTGATATTCAAACTGGCACAAACTTCTTATTTATTTCTTTTTTACCTGCTTTTTTCTTTATTCAAGTTTCTATTTTAAAAAATTGGCAAAAATCTTTTTGGGATCATTCATTTATGACGTTTATTGACTATTATAAAATTATCATTTTAAAAGTTTAATGGATAATTTAAAAGTTTTAATATTTAACGGATTTTAAGAAATTCAAATTTACCTAAATTATCGATAAAACCATATAAATTTTAGAACTTTAGGACCAAAACCCTATAAATGTTCTTCTTCTTCTTCTTAATTATCTTTATTAAGGTCCTTTTTAATAAATTTTAAGACCATTTTCAATTCCAAATATGTTTTACATTATTTTAAATTTATAAATACGAACTGCATTACAGGATATTATGTGTTTTGGTGTTAAATTTTATCGTACAAATTTATTTCTTTTACAAAATTTAGGATTTTATCTGTGACATTTTTGTCGTCAATTTTTACCCTATAAATGTTTCAATTTCTCTGTACTAAAAATTATTTTATTTCCCATTTGAAAAAAAATTGACGTTTTAAATGAATGATCCTATTTTGATTTTTTCTTTGTTAAAAAAAGGAAACATTTTAATATTTTATATAAACCCACATGTGTGATAAGTAAACGCTTAACAGATGTTCTTATGACCAGTCATCTGCAGATTCTTCCTCTTTCTTGCTATAGCAATAATTCATCTCGTTAACATTAAGCTTCTTCAATGTCACAACTTGATTGGATTCCAGGAATTTTTGCTTGCGGAAACTCTTTTTTGACTCGCAAGTTGTATCTAAAGTGATGTCTTTTCGAATGATGTTAACATTGATGCTGTAGTGAGAATCAATACTATTATTGGCTGAATGGTCCATTTCATCATGTGTCTCATCCTTGACTTTTATATTAGACACTCTTGTTGAAAGCCACGAACCACAATCTTCATCAATTTTATAATCGAAACTTTCAAACACTTTCTTATCAGATATCTTTGATGTTTTAAATGAAAAGGATTTAACTGAAGAGGTTGATGCAGCTAATGTGAGTTCTTCACTGCCGTTTTCATTCTTTTTTGCATTTCTAGGCTTTTTAATTTGATGCTTATTGGGCAAATCATCAAAATTGAAAACTCCATCTTCAAGGTCTCGCTTTCGCGAGATTTGTGATGTGTTTACTGGTGCGCAACTAATGTTTTTGTCTACCTCGTCGCTTGACACTTTCTTTGTAGATCGTTGAGGCACAATTTTCTTAATCTCGTTTGAAGTTTTGGAACTCTTGACTGTCTTGAGAACTTTCTTGCTAATCCCACTGTCTTCAATGTCATTTGTGGGCCTCTTTCGTGTATTTACTGCCCTCATTGGAACATTAAATGCCATAAGATCGTCATCAGATTCAATAACCATTTTCCTATTATTAGTTCCACTATTAGATTTTTTCGAGTTTTCTTCATGTGACGGTGAGAAGATATCTTCGTCACTATCATCATAAACTATTTGGGAGCGAACTGATTCTTTTGCAGCTTTTTGTGGTTCTTCAGAAATTTCAACATTATCTTGCTGTCGCTCAACTTTTTTATCGATTTGACTTGGTTTCTCGTCACCTTTAATTACTTTCTTGCTCTTATTTTCTGCTGCTTTGTTCTTTGATGTGCTTGGAGCAATTTCTTCGGAATAATTAATGAGATTCTTTCGAAGACCAGCGCTTCTACTTCCTTTACTGGGAATATCATCGTCAGAATCAATAATAACATCAAACTTATCAATTATTTTCGCATTGATTGGATTCTCTTTTGGTTTCTTTGAAATATTCGATACTGATAAGCTATTCTCAATAGCTTCAGCATCATCTGATTTTCTCTTAATTCCTGCTCTTGCTTCTTCCTTACAATGAATCTCCCAGATGTTTTCATAACAGCCAAATTGCACCTTATCTCCATCTTTCAATGTCACTGGATCTTTTGATACTTTTTTGATTTGATCATTTTGGATTGTTGTGCCATATTTTGCACCGTCATCAATAATTCTCAATTCATTTTGCTTCAACAAGAATGTACAGTGCTTACGACTAATCGATTCATCGTTTTTAATGACATGAGTAGTTCCAAGTCTGCCAATTGTTGTTTTCTCTTGATTTATGTTTAAAATTTCACCTTTAAAAGCATAATTTGATTAGATTTCTTTGTAAAATAGATATATTGGTAGCTCACCTGTCTTACTATGCTTAATAAACCACATAACTATGCTTAATTAACAAGAAATCTTTTAAATAAATTTACTAAAGAATAATCAAAATTTACTATCATAGTTTCGAACCCTTTGTTGGTCTATTACAGAAAAAATTTAAAAATTTAATAACTGTTGGCTTATTATTTCTTCGTATTAGCTTTACTATAGCTTAATCATCAATGTACTTATTGAATCCAAATGTCAAATCAAGATAATTTTTCTATGAATCATCAAATAATGCATTAGACAGTTTTAAAAGACAATTCAAAATAACGATCTTTTAAAATTCAAGTCAAGGGTTGAGACTTACGCTTTTAAGGTTTATGTTGTTGCTTTCCCTACAGTTTTTTGGATAAACATTGTTGGATTATAAAAAAATTAATTTATTTAAATATGATTAGGATAATTAATTCGCGAATCATTTCCTGTGTTTCTAAGCAGTTAACAAAACCTATTGGTGCTCAATTATCAAGGAGTTTATGCACAAATGTGCCTAAACCACAAAAAGAAGAGTAAGTAAGACAGTAAAAAGTGATCTTACATTCACAGTACAAATTTGCTTTAACATCAAAGGTAGTTAAAGCTACGTGATCAATTGTAGAGAAGAGGAAAAGAGAAAGCATGTTTCTTCAAACGCAATTTAATATTTATTTATTCTTATTTGCTTAAATCGAATTTTGATATTATACAATGCATTAAAAATCAGCTGAATAATACAAGCGATAGCCTTAATAGCTGCTCTTGTTATCTCCCGTGATATTGTTTATCATTTTACAACTATCTGATATGATTTTCTGATTATGAAATAAATGCGAATTAATTAAAATGTAATATCAATATCATCTATTCTCTCATAATTTAGAGTTCAAGTGACGTTTGTACGTGCAAATGGAGAGCGAGTTCAATCGAAAGGAAAGGTTGGTGACAGTTTATTGGATGTTGTTGTAAACAATAGTCTGGATTTTGATGGATTTGGTGCTTGTGAAGGAACATTGACATGCAGTACATGCCATTTAATACTCTCACAAGCCGATTATGATAAACTTCCTGATAAACCATCAGACGAGGAATTAGATATGCTTGATTTAGCATACGATTTGGCAGATACCTCACGTCTCGGATGTCAAATTTGTCTTGAGAAATCCATGAATGGCTTGGAAGTAAAGGTTCGTTGCCCAAATTGATTGCCGTAATGACATTTTTAATTAATGTTTTTTTTTTTGTAGGTTCCAGCAACAGTAAATGACGCCAGAAGTTAATGACATCAAGCATTCGTTAGAATTACGAACAAAATTTTATTTTTTAATACAGTTAAATTTGAATGTTAACAATTCTGTAAAAGATAATACACAGTAAATTCTTGATTCTATTAACTCCGTAGGTATAGGCTTGTAATATATGTTTCTTTCAATAAAGTACACATATTTTGTTTTCAAAAAATTACGCAATCATCGTCTACTTCCTATTCTCCACAACGACAGGCAAAATGAAAAAAACACTTTTGAATGATTTACTTTATAGAAAGCATTAATTCCAGCATAAAAATCTTCATAACATAATTTGCTCATCTTTTTCTTTTTATACTTGAAAATTTGAATGAGAAAAAAATCCCAGTAACCATTGAAATTTGACAAATTCTGAATTTTCTTCAGTATTGTATTGAACGAGAGAAGATTGATTCAACATGTCAACGTCAAATTTTCGCAAAACTGTTCAGCAGTTCATTCAGCTTTTAGAGGATGAAGATCATCAGCTTGAGAATAATACAAGCAACAACGAAATAGCCAACGTGGAGATAGAAGTAAGGATAGGATTTCGATGATACAAAATCAAAAGGACTCAGTTTAATTGCTGTATGGTTTGTATGATTTTCATTCAAGAAGCATCATGTCAAGTTGGTACTTCCAACTGGATGAAACTGACAAAAATGTTTTTTCAACATTTCTTGACTTCTTTAACAATTTTTGAGAGGGGTCCAGATTTAAGGAACCAAGCACTTCTTTCATTATCCACTGAAATTTTTCGGTTCTAAGTAGTCATACGATGCGTACTGGCTGCATTGGAACCTACGGAACTGCTTAGTTCCTCAGAACTGGACTCATCTTTAAAATCGTTTGAAAAGTCAAGAAATGAAGTAAAATTTTTTTGTCAGTTCCACCCAGTTGGAAGTGCCAACTAGACATGATGCTTCTTGCATGGAAATAATACTAATCATGCAAGCAAGCAGCTGATATTTATCATCCTTCGATGATTCATTTTAAATTGTGAATAAATTTTAAAATTTTTTTTTCCATTTATTTATTTTAGCAACCGGTTCCCGAGCTCCTGAGAACGTGCAGCATGCCAATGATAAATGCTGGAACCGAAAATTCACGTCTCCTTCGATCATTCAGCATGCCGACAATGATTCCTTTGTACAGGACCTTTCAATCCATGTCGGAGGAATTGTTGCAGATCGAAAGAGCTATTGGCGAGAAAAGGAACCTCTTAAAGGTGAGTAATTATATAATAACTAGGCTGTCCGGAGGCGCCTGTGGCGCCTCTTATCAGGGTTAAAATTTGATTACTATTGTGTAAATAACTGTAAGACGCAAATAACCATAATGTTTTTAAGGTCAATCCTACCACAAAACTTCACAAACCTGCTCAAACTCGGACTCAATCCCACAAAAATTTTATAAATGTATTCACAAACCCCCTCAAACTCGGACCCCTTTAATCCCACTAAAACTTTAATTCCCCCGAAACTCACCATGTCTTTTCACAAAGCTTCGCATGGCTTCACAAAACTTCACATGGCTTCACAAAATTTTATATGGCTTCACAAAATATTCCTGACAGCAAACTTTTCCCACAAACCCCCTCAAATTCGGACCCCTCCCCCCAACTGACACCCCCCTTGCCTCCATCCCCACCTGACACCCACTTTATCACCCCCCACAACTGACACCCACCTTGTCAGCACCCCTCGAATCATCGGCTTCACAAAATACACCCTGACACCCCCCTTGCCCCCAATTCTTACCTGACCCCCCACCCCACACCTGACACTCACACCCACCTTACAACCACCTTGTCAACACTCCTTAAATTTTTGTCTTCACACGGCTTCACAAATGTCTTCACATGGCTTCCGTTCCAGAGTCAGTGAATCAGTGAATTGGGCTTTTATATATTAGATATTTTTAATTTAAGAAAAACTCTAAAATGATTTTAATTTTTAATTTCAGTTTATGTTTGAGAAGCCTTCTTTGGGAAACTTGCCTCATGATCTCATGAAGCAAGCATCGAAAGAAGATTCATCAATAAAAAGAGGAATAAGAGGATTCTTGCGCATGCATAATGTTGATAGTGGACGATTGCGACTTTCAAGAAGAAATTTCATAAAACAGCATCCTGAACTTCATCTTGTGTTCATTAAGTTTCTTGTGTTGCGAGACATGAGAAACTTTTTGGCCAAGCAAGATGAGTTGTTTGCTTTTTTCTGGTTTCTTGTGGAGTGGTTCGAAGATGCTGGTTTGGAGATGTTATTGGAGTTGGAGGATTTTTTCGTGTTGTATCATGAAAATTACAATAACATCTACCTACAGAGAGAAGTCAGCATTTTCATGTTCCATCATCAGTCGCTGGCATCGGAAATGAATAGATTTGTGGCATCACATTTACATTACTTGGTAAGTTTACACTTATCAGATGAATGTAGTGTTATAAGGAATCAGAATATCCAAATGACTGGAATTTTGAATTTAGATTCTTGGCACTTTATTTTAATAAAATGAATTTTTTATTTCAGGACGATGATGCTGCAACGATTACATCAATCTATTCGTATCCGGAGTCATCTGAAACATCAACATTTGCTGAAGAAACCAAGAGCATGCAAGCCGAAGTCAACGAGAACCCCAAAAAGAAGAAGGGGTTATGGAGAACGTTCAAACGAATGTTCTGTTGCGGAGTTCCTGAGGACGACGAAGCGGAAGGGTTTCCTTTAAAAGTTGAGTGAAAAGGTAGGGGGGTAAGGGATTAAATTCGCAGGGATGGGAGGGGGTGTAGGGTAAAAGGTGGGTGGGAACGGCGAGAAGAGCCTCAACAAATCTATCTGGGAGTGGCGCCCCAGTGACGCCAAAGGAAGGTATTAAATTAGCGGGGTGGGGGGTTCTTAAGGTAGGGGGTAAGAAATTAAATTCGCAGGGATGGAAGGGGGTGTAAGGTGTGAGGGATTAAAGTAAGCGGGGTAGGTTTTTCATGGAGGGTGAAGGGTGTGAGGGATTAAAGTAGCGGGGAAGGTTTTTGATGCAGGGTGTTGGGTGTGAGGGTTCAAATTAAGTGGGGTAGGGGTTCTTGAAGTAGGGGGTAAAGGGTGGGTGGGAACGGCGAGAAGAGCCTCAACAAATCTATCTGGGAGTGGCGCCCCAGTGACGCCAAGGGAAGGTATTAAATTAGCGGGGTGGGGGGGTTCTTAAGGTAGGGGGTAAGAAATTAAATTCGCAGGGATGGAAGGGGGTGTAAGGTGTCAGGGATTAAAGTAAGCGGGGTAGGTTTTTCATGGAGGGTGAAGGGTGTGAGGGATTAAAGTAGCGGGGAAGGTTTTTGATGCAGGGTGTTGGGTGTGAGGGTTCAAACTAAGTGGGGTAGGGGTTCTTGAAGTAGGGGGTAAAGGGTGGGTGGGAACGGCGAGAAGAGCCTCAACAAATCTATCTGGGAGTGGCGCCCCAGTGACGCCAAGGGAAGGTATTAAATTAGCGGGGTGGGGGGGGCTCTTAAGGTAGGGGGTAAGAAATTAAATTCGCAGGGATGGAAGGGGGTGTAAGGTGTCAGGGATTAAAGTAAGCGGGGTAGGTTTTTCATGGAGGGTGAAGGGTGTGAGGGATTAAAGTAGCGGGGAAGGTTTTTGATGCAGGGTGTTGGGTGTGAGGGTTCAAACTAAGTGGGGTAGGGGTTCTTAAAGTAGGGGGTAAAGGGTGGGTGGGAACGGCGAGAAGAGCCTCAACAAATCTATCTGGGAGTGGCGCCCCAGTGACGCCAAGGGAAGGGATTATAGTATGCGGGGTAGGGGGATGGGGGAAGGGTGAGGTTCTTGAGGTAGGGTAAGGGTTTATTTGTTTAAAAAGATGGACGAATTAATTTAAATGTGCGCGTTCGTTTTTTAAGCTTTTTTTTGCGAACGAGGCATTAATCCTCTATAAACAGGTTTACTATAACTTATTGGAAAAGTCTTTAGAGGGGGATGAGGGTGGGACTGTCCATCAAAAAAGTAATTTCTATCAATCTGTCTGTTCGTGTCCGTCTGTCTTAAACCATTTAGTAATCATTTTTTTTTCAGCTTTTACTACTCTTATTATTTTACTGAAGAATTGGACCTAGTCCAATCCATTCACAACAAATAATATCCAAACCAACGAGTTGTCATAACAAGAGTAAAAGCCCAATAAAGCCTTAACGAGAGCCCAACATTCATGATTGATAGCCATGCCGTTCGGAATTACAGCTTGAGAATCAGTTTGTTGGGGACGGAAAGTGCCAGTGGCGATGAAATTCGTTGACCTCTTGTTGAGTAGACTAAATGGTAGCGCTTCTGGCAAGGTCTGCAACACCCTTAATGAAAGATGCATCACGGCATTTAATGTAACCCGGTGAATGTGTTCCGATAACAGCTTTTGCCATAGTTTATAAAACTTGGCTACTCTGTTTGATGCAACTAGTTGTTTAACGACAGTTGATCGATTTAAGAAGGAGCGACCAGAAAAGAAAACGACTCATTTTAGTCTTTTATTTGGAGGGACTCGTTCTGTTGACCTTCACGAGGTGAGTCCTGTGATCTTTTCTATTTCGATGGAAAAGAGGCCGACAAACAGAAGTTGTGAATTGGATTGGATAGTTTTGGAATTCAAAATGTTTGAAGATGTAAATTTTTCTTGTGTAACTCTTGAAATGGAATTTTTGTCTTCAGTCTTAAAATGTGAACTTTTCCTCTCGAATTCTTGAAATGTAAATTTTTCATGTTCAATTCTTGAAATGTGAATTTTTCGTCTTTAATTTTTAAAATGTGAATTTTTCATCTTGAATTCTTAAAATGTGAATTTTTCGTCTTGAATTCTTGAAATGTGAATTTTTTGTCTTCAATTTTTGAAACCTGAATTTTTCGTCTTCTATTTTTGAAACGTGAATTTTTTTATGTTCAATTTTTTGAAATGTGAATTTTTCATGTTCAATTTTTTGAAAAGTGAATTTTTCATCTTGAATTCTTGAAATGTGAATTTTTCATCTTGAATTCTTAAAATGTGAATTTTTCGTCTTAAATTCTTGAAATGTGAATTTTTTGTCTTCAATTTTTGAAACCTGAATTTTTCGTCTTCTATTTTTGAAACGTGAATTTTTCATGTTCAATTTTTTGAAATGTGAATTTTTCATCTTGAATTCTTGAAATGTGAATTTTTCATGTTTAATTCTTGAAATGTGAATTTTTCGTCTTGAAATTTTCATATTCAATTCTTGAAATGTGAAAATTTTTGTCTTGAATTCTTGAAACGTGAATTTTTCATGTTCAATTCTTGAAATGTGAATTTTTCGTCTTTAATTTTTAAAATGTGAATTTTTCATGTTCAATTTTTTGAAATTTGAATTTTTCATCTTGAATTCTTAAAATGTAAATTTTTTCATGTTTAATTCTTGAAATGTGAATTTTTCGTCTTTAATTTTTAAAATGTGAATTTTACATGTTCAATTTTTTGAAATGTGAATTTTTCGTCTTGAATTTTTCATGTTCAATTCTTGTAATGTGAATTTTTTGTCTTGAATTCTTGAAATGTGAATTTTTTGTCTTCAATTTTTGAAACCTGAATTTTTCGTCTTCTATTTTTGAAACGTGAATTTTTTATGTTCAATTTTTTGAAATGTGAATTTTTCATGTTCAATTTTTTGAAATGTGAATTTTTCATGTTCAAGTTTTTAAAATGTGAATTTTTCGTCTCTATTTTTGAAACGTGAATTTTTCGTCTTCTATTTTTGAAACGTGAATTTTTTATGTACAATTTTTGAAATGTGAATTTTTCATCTTGAATTCTTAAAATGTGAATTTTTCATGTTCAATTTTTTGAAATTTGAATTTTTCATCTTGAATTCTTGAAATGTAAATTTTTTCATGTTTAATTCTTGAAATGTGAATTTTTCGTCTTGAATTTTTCATGTTCAATTCTTGAAATGTGAATTTTTTGTCTTGAATTCTTGAAATGTGAATTTTTTGTCTTCAATTTTTGAAACCTGAATTTTTCGTCTTCTATTTTTGAAACGTGAATTTTTTATGTTCAAATTTTTGAAATGTGAATTTTTCATCTTGAATTCTTAAAATGTGAATTTTTCATGTTCAATTTTTTGAAATTTGAATTTTTCACCTTGAATTCTTGAAATGTAAATTTTTCATGTTTAATTCTTGAAATGTGAATTTTTCGTCTTTAATTTTTAAAATGTGAATTTTTATATTCACACCGTTTTCACGTGCGAATCTATTGGTTTTGTTCAGATTGAAAAATCAGTTTTTCGCATTTTGTGAGAAAACAAAGCAAAATTGGATATTAAAAGGCAAGAAGAAAAGTTTGTGCCTGAAATTTTACATCATTTTCAAAAAACAGATTTCAAATTGGTTGTGGCATTGCTGAGAAAATCGCAAAATACGCTTTCTGTAAGCAAACAAGCAAGCAAGCAAGTTAATCAGCAAGAAATCTCAATAACGAGACATCGTAGAGACTTCTAGTTTTTTACATTTGATCCGTGCTGCTCTATAGAAGAGCTGTATTGTTTTTGGGCAAGGTAGGAACAGCCGTTGCTTCAGAAATGGCAAAAAACTTTCCTTTCTTACGAATTTTTTAAAACAAAAGTTGACTGTGATTTTTATAAAATTTAACTTTGGATGAAAATTTTTTTTAAAAAACTTTTAAAGAATATTTGGCATATTCGTCAAGCTTTATACCTTCAAACTTATGTTGAGCGTAGCTCAGCTGACTCGATAGCTTTATATCTTCAAACTTATGCTGAGCGTAGCTCAGCTTACGCGATAGCTTTATAACTTCAACTTATGCTGAGCGAAGCTCCACTGCCTCTCTAGCTTCATATCTTCAAACTTATGCTGAGCGTAGCTCAGCTGACACTTTAGCTTTATATCTTGAAACTTATGCTGAGCGTAGCTCAGCTTACGCGATAGCTTTATAACTTCAAACTTATGCTGAGCGAAGCTCAGCTGCCTCTCTAGCTTCATATCTTCAAACTTATGCTGAGCGTAGCTCAGCTTACGCGATAGCTTTATAACTTCAAACTTATGCTGAGCGTAGCTCAGCTTACGCGATAGCTTTATAGCTTTAAACTTATGCTGAGCGAAGCTTAGTTGACTTATCAAGCTTCATACCTTCATACTTATGATGGGCAAATCTTGGTCTATCCATAAGACTTATGATAGTACGGTGTGAATATAATCCGCATTGGGTTTCTACCCGATACACTAGTTCATGTTCAATTTTTTGAAATTTGAATTTTTCATCTTGAATTCTTGAAATGTAAATTTTTCATGTTTAATTCTTGAAATGTGAATTTTTCGTCTTTAATTTTTAAAATGTGAATTTTTTATGTTCAATTTTTTGAAACCTGAATTTTTCGTCTTCTATTTTTGAAACGTGAATTTTTCAATTGGAATACGATTTTTCGTGTTTCAATTTTTGGAATATGGATTATTTGCGAACATGAACTTATTTGCCAAACTTCTTCATCATTGGATTTTAAATCAATTGGTTTAATTTCATCTTTCGTTATGAAAATATTTTGAATTTAGAGCAAGAAAAGAACAATAGAAATTCCTGGAAATCCATTGATCTTTTTTGAAAAATGACCGTTAATTTCGGACGTCATAATTGAACGGCCCCTATACTAATTCATACATAACTAGCTTTTATAAAATGAGTTTTCTATTCAACAGGTTTCACAAAAGATTTGCTCCTTTGTTAAAGAAAACCAAACGGAAAACTCGCAAAAGCTTGAAGGATTTTTCTCTATCTACACTGAAGTTTTGAGCTATGACAGAAGCACGAACATTAATGATGAGATTGAAAAATTGTCAAATTTATAATAAATATATATTTTACCAAAAAAAATTGATTCTCATAAAGAAACATTAAAAGCACAATTTTAATTATTTAAAAGACTTTTGCATGCTTAATATCTTTTGTGGCTGAAAATCGAACAATTTGCAAGAATGATCCAAACTTTAAACCAATTCAGCCTTATCTCAGGATCCTGCAGCTATAAATGCTCAAACATCCACAAAGGTATCAAAAATGATGGAATTAGCATTTGATATTGGTGCCGAGAGAAGCAAAAGAGAGACTGCAATGAGTAATCTTGTAGTGTTAGCTAGAGAAAAGGCAGGAGCCGATGTAATGTTCCGTGAGAATATAGCTACTCGTGTCGGTAAATTATTCAAAGTCGAAAAAAATGATGAAATACTTGTTAATGCTATACGTGTAATTGATGATATCTGTATCAAGTCATTACATTACACAAAGAAGATCATTAATGAATTTGGTATCCCTTGATTCCTACAAATTCTCGATAGTAAAAATGCTGATCGTGTCATGTGAGCTCAGCATTGCTTACAAGTCATTCTTAATTCATTCTCTGGCTTAACTAATAAAGAGGATTCAAAGCCAGATCAACAATTAGTTGAAGATAATAAGAATGAAATTGATACAATTCTTACATGCTTGGTTTATGCAACAACAGATCGTACAATTACTGGCGAAGCTCGTGATGCTGTTGTAGAATTATTGATCAGAAATGCTCATCATCAAACACTTAATTGGGCTGAACGTCTTATCGAGCAAAAGGGTCTTTATCGTTTGATGGAAATTTGTAGTGAATTAGAGGAATATAAATATGAGAGTGCAATGCCAATAACACCATCGTCTAGAACCATCGCTTCCGTTTGTTTAGCAAGAATTTATGAAAACATGTACTATGATGAAGCTCGACAACGATTCATTGCTCACATTGATGAATATATAAGGGATAAGCTTTTAAATCCAGAATTTGAATCAAAAGTTCGTGTTGTAGTCGCTTTAACATCATTTCTTCTTGGTCCATTAGATGTTGGCAATACAATTTTTGCACGTGATGGAATCATGCAAATGATTTTAGCAATGGCAAGTGATGATGAATTGTTACATCAAAAAGTAGCTTCTGAATGTCTTATTGCTGCAGCATCAAAGAAGGATAAGGCTAAAGCATTAATAGCAAGTGGGGTGGAAATTTAAAAGAAATTATATCATTCAAAAGATGAAGGAATTCGAGTAAAAGCAGTAGTTGGATTATGTAAATTAGGTAGCTCTGGTGGCCTTGATGCATCTATTCGTCCATTTGCTGATGGATCAACTGTTAAACTAGCTGAAGCATGTCGTCGTTTTCTCATTAAACCTGGTAAAGATAAGGATATTCGTAAATTTGCAGCTGAAGGATTGTCATTCCTTACACTTGATGCTGATGTTAAAGAGAAATTAATTGATGATAAATTGGCTATTCAAGCACTCATTGAACTAGCTAAAACTGGAGATCAATCTGTCATTTATGGTGTTGTTACTACACTTGTAAATCTTGTCAATGCTTATGAAAAGCAGGAAATGCTTCCTGAACTTATGGAACTTGCTAAATTCGCAAAACATCATGTTCCAGAAGAATCAGAACTCGATGATCCAGATTTTGTAGCCAAACGTATTAATACATTGGCAGAAGAAGGTATTACTGTCGCCTTAGTTGCTCTATCAAAAACTGAGAGTGACAATGCCAAAGAAATGATTGCGAGAGTTTTTAATGCAATTTGCTCCAAAACTAGTGTTAGGGGAAAGATTGTTCAACAAGGTGGTGCTCGTGTCTTAATTCAGCTTGCATTAAAAGGTAAGAATTTCAAACTTTATTACTGCATTTTTATTGATTTATTTTAAATTCTGTTTTTTTTTTCAATTACTTTAGGTACTGAAAAGGGCAAACGAAATGCTGGTCAGGCTTTGTCACGTTTAGGTATCACTATCAATCCCGAACAAGCATTTCCTGGACAACGATCATTAGAAGTTGTTAGACCATTACTTAATCAACTTCATCCAGACTATAGTGCACTCGAGAATTTTGAAGCACTTTTGGCACTTTGTAATTTAGCTCAAATGAATGATTCAGTTCGCAATCGCATAATGAAAGAGAAAGGAATGTCACGTATTGAAATGTTCTTAATGGAAGATCACATTTTGTTGACTAGAGCTGCCACACAAGTAATTTGCAACATGGTTTTGAATGAGGATTATATAAAATGGCATGAAGGAGACAATGATCGCGTAAAATTCTTAGCACTGTTGTGCGAGGAGGAAGATGAAGAAACAGCTTTAGCATGTAGTGGTGCATTAGCAATTCTGACATCTAATAGTGCAAAATGTTGTGAGAAAATGATAACTCCATCGTCATGGCTTGAAATTTTGCATACGTTAATAGCGAATCCAAGCCCTGATGTACAGTTTAGAGGAATTGTCATAATTCACAACATGATTCGACAGAGTAAAACAGTTGCTGAGAAAATATTCGATACTGATGTTTTGCAGCTTTTAATGGGTGTCACTCAGCTTAACGACGAGAAAAGATCAAAGGCAATTGAAGAAGCCAAATTATGCCTAAAGACAGCAGAAGATATGAAATTAATTCAAGAAAAGAAAGATGATGCAAATGATATGATGCCAGATGTCTTTCAACAGCCTCAAAATGAAGATTTAGAAGAAGAAAACGAGTGAATGCCTAAATATGTGCCTTTAGTTTGTTGTTTTTTATCAAACATTTTTAATGAAACTTTACAGCTAAAACTTTTTGTATTTCTTGACCATTTTGTACTTAATTGATTTTCTAAATTGCATTTTAGACATCAAATTTATTTAAATAAAGTTTTTTCTTTGAAGAATTAATAGTGAAATCCATGAGAGTATAAAACAGTCATTTAGTAAATAGACGTAGTGAACGTGCCTTCTTCCACATTTTCACTATCACTTATTGCTCAATAATAACTTAAATTTGAAGGAAATTATTATTTGATAAACATTTTTTTTATCTTTGTTTCAAACTCAACGGAACCGATCACTTATTTTGTAACACTGGATATGTTCCTGCACCAGATTCAGCGATTTCCCGATAGTTTTAATGTCACAAAATATCATTTTAATTTTCATACAAAATGATAAAAATTCAGTATACAAAAGAATAATCCCAGCAACCATTGAAATTTGACCAATTCTGAAATTTCTTCAGTATTGTGTAAACATTAAAAGTGAAGATTAGTTCAACATGTCAACGTCAAATTTTCGCAAAACTGTTCAGCAGTTCATTCAGCTTTTAGAGGATGAAGAGCATCAGCTTGAGAATAAAGCAAGCAACAACGAAATAGCGAACGTGGAGATAGAAGTAAGGATAGGATTTCGATGATACAAAATCAAAAGGACTCATTTTAATTGCTGCATGGTTTGTATGATTTTCATTCAAGAAGCATCATGTCAAGTTGGTACTTCCAACTGGATGAAACTGACAAAAATGTTTTTTCAACATTTCTTGACTTCTTTAACAATTTTTGAGAGGGGTCCAGATTTAAGGAACCAAGCACTTCTTTCATTATCCACTGAAATTTTTCGGTTCTAAGTAGTCATACGATGCGTACTGGCTGCATTGGAACCTACGGAACTGCTTAGTTCCTCAGAACTGGACTCATCTTTAAAATCGTTTGAAAAGTCAAGAAATGAAGTAAAATTTTTTTGTCAGTTCCACCCAGTTGGAAGTGCCAACTAGACATGATGCTTCTTGCATGGAAATAATACTAATCATGCAAGCAAGCAGCTGATATTTATCATCCTTCGATGATTCATTTTAAATTGTGAATAAATTTTAAAATTTTTTTTCCATTTATTTATTTTAGCAACCGGTTCCCGAGCTCCTGAGAACGTGCAGCATGCCAATGATAAATGCTGGAACCGAAAATTCACGTCTCCTTCGATCATTCAGCATGCCGACAATGATTCCTTTGTACAGGACCTTTCAATCCATGTCGGAGGAATTGTTGCAGATCGAAAGAGCTATTGGCGAGAAAAGGAACCTCTTAAAGGTGAGTAATTATATAATAACTAGGCTGTCCGGAGGCGCCTGTGGCGCCTCTTATCAGGGTTAAAATTTGATTACTATTGTGTAAATAACTGTAAGACGCAAATAACCATAATGTTTTTAAGGTCAATCCTACCACAAAACTTCACAAACCTCCTCAAACTCGGACTCAATCCCACAAAAATTTTATAAATGTATTCACAAACCCCCTCAAACTCGGACCCCTTTAATCCCACTAAAACTTTAATTCCCCCGAAACTCACCATGTCTTTTCACAAAGCTTCGCATGGCTTCACAAAACTTCACATGGCTTCACAAAATTTTATATGGCTTCACAAAATATTCCTGACAGCAAACTTTTCCCACAAACCCCCTTAAATTCGGATCCCCCCCCCCAACTGACACCCCCCTTGCCTCCATCCCCACCTGACACCCACTTTATCACCCCCCACAACTGACACCCACCTTGTCAGCACCCCTCGAATCATCGGCTTCACAAAATACACCCTGACACCCCCCTTGCCCCCAATTCTTACCTGACCCCCCACCCCACACCTGACACTCACACCCACCTTACAACCACCTTGTCAACACTCCTTAAATTTTTGTCTTCACACGGCTTCACAAATGTCTTCACATGGCTTCCGTTCCAGAGTCAGTGAATCAGTGAATTGGGCTTTTATATATTAGATATTTTTAATTTAAGAAAAACTCTAAAATGATTTTAATTTTTAATTTCAGTTTATGTTTGAGAAGCCTTCTTTGGGAAACTTGCCTCATGATCTCATGAAGCAAGCATCGAAAGAAGATTCATCAATAAAAAGAGGAATAAGAGGATTCTTGCGCATGCATAATGTTGATAGTGGACGATTGCGACTTTCAAGAAGAAATTTCATAAAACAGCATCCTGAACTTCATCTTGTGTTCATTAAGTTTCTTGTGTTGCGAGACATGAGAAACTTTTTGGCCAAGCAAGATGAGTTGTTTGCTTTTTTCTGGTTTCTTGTGGAGTGGTTCGAAGATGCTGGTTTGGAGATGTTATTGGAGTTGGAGGATTTTTTCGTGTTGTATCATGAAAATTACAATAACATCTACCTACAGAGAGAAGTCAGCATTTTCATGTTCCATCATCAGTCGCTGGCATCGGAAATGAATAGATTTGTGGCATCACATTTACATTACTTGGTAAGTTTACACTTATCAGATGAATGTAGTGTTATAAGGAATCAGAATATCCAAATGACTGGAATTTTGAATTTAGATTCTTGGCACTTTATTTTAATAAAATGAATTTTTTATTTCAGGACGATGATGCTGCAACGATTACATCAATCTATTCGTATCCGGAGTCATCTGAAACATCAACATTTGCTGAAGAAGCCAAGAGCATGCAAGCCGAAGTCAACGAGAACCCCAAAAAGAAGAAGGGGTTATGGAGAACGTTCAAACGAATGTTCTGTTGCGGAGTTCCTGAGGACGACGAAGCGGAAGGGTTTCCTTTAAAAGTTGAGTGAAAAGGTAGGGGGGTAAGGGATTAAATTCGCAGGGATGGGAGGGGGTGTAGGGTAAAAGGTGGGTGGGAACGGCGAGAAGAGCCTCAACAAATCTATCTGGGAGTGGCGCCCCAGTGACGCCAAAGGAAGGTATTAAATTAGCGGGGTGGGGGGTTCTTAAGGTAGGGGGTAAGAAATTAAATTCGCAGGGATGGAAGGGGGTGTAAGGTGTGAGGGATTAAAGTAAGCGGGGTAGGTTTTTCATGGAGGGTGAAGGGTGTGAGGGATTAAAGTAGCGGGGAAGGTTTTTGATGCAGGGTGTTGGGTGTGAGGGTTCAAATTAAGTGGGGTAGGGGTTCTTGAAGTAGGGGGTAAAGGGTGGGTGGGAACGGCGAGAAGAGCCTCAACAAATCTATCTGGGAGTGGCGCCCCAGTGACGCCAAGGGAAGGTATTAAATTAGCGGGGTGGGGGGGTTCTTAAGGTAGGGGGTAAGAAATTAAATTCGCAGGGATGGAAGGGGGTGTAAGGTGTCAGGGATTAAAGTAAGCGGGGTAGGTTTTTCATGGAGGGTGAAGGGTGTGAGGGATTAAAGTAGCGGGGAAGGTTTTTGATGCAGGGTGTTGGGTGTGAGGGTTCAAACTAAGTGGGGTAGGGGTTCTTGAAGTAGGGGGTAAAGGGTGGGTGGGAACGGCGAGAAGAGCCTCAACAAATCTATCTGGGAGTGGCGCCCCAGTGACGCCAAGGGAAGGTATTAAATTAGCGGGGTGGGGGGGGCTCTTAAGGTAGGGGGTAAGAAATTAAATTCGCAGGGATGGAAGGGGGTGTAAGGTGTCAGGGATTAAAGTAAGCGGGGTAGGTTTTTCATGGAGGGTGAAGGGTGTGAGGGATTAAAGTAGCGGGGAAGGTTTTTGATGCAGGGTGTTGGGTGTGAGGGTTCAAACTAAGTGGGGTAGGGGTTCTTAAAGTAGGGGGTAAAGGGTGGGTGGGAACGGCGAGAAGAGCCTCAACAAATCTATCTGGGAGTGGCGCCCCAGTGACGCCAAGGGAAGGGATTATAGTATGCGGGGTAGGGGGATGGGGGAAGGGTGAGGTTCTTGAGGTAGGGTAAGGGTTTATTTGTTTAAAAAGATGGACGAATTAATTTAAATGTGCGCGTTCGTTTTTTAAGCTTTTTTTTGCGAACGAGGCATTAATCCTCTATAAACAGGTTTACTATAACTTATTGGAAAAGTCTTTAGAGGGGGATGAGGGTGGGACTGTCCATCAAAAAAGTAATTTCTATCAATCTGTCTGTTCGTGTCCGTCTGTCTTAAACCATTTATTAATCATTTTTTTTTCAGCTTTTACTACTCTTATTATTTTACTGAAGAATTGGACCTAGTCCAATCCATTCACAACAAATAATATCCAAACCAACGAGTTGTCATAACAAGAGTAAAAGCCCAATAAAGCCTTAACGAGAGCCCAACATTCATGATTGATAGCCATGCCGTTCGGAATTACAGCTTGAGAATCAGTTTGTTGGGGACGGAAAGTGCCAGTGGCGATGAAATTCGTTGACCTCTTGTTGAGTAGACTAAATGGTAGCGCTTCTGGCAAGGTCTGCAACACCCTTAATGAAAGATGCATCACGGCATTTAATGTAACCCGGTGAATGTGTTCCGATAACAGCTTTTGCCATAGTTTATAAAACTTGGCTACTCTGTTTGATGCAACTAGTTGTTTAACGACAGTTGATCGATTTAAGAAGGAGCGACCAGAAAAGAAAACGACTCATTTTAGTCTTTTATTTGGAGGGACTCGTTCTGTTGACCTTCACGAGGTGAGTCCTGTGATCTTTTCTATTTCGATGGAAAAGAGGCCGACAAACAGAAGTTGTGAATTGGATTGGATAGTTTTGGAATTCAAAATGTTTGAAGATGTAAATTTTTCTTGTGTAACTCTTGAAATGGAATTTTTGTCTTCAGTCTTAAAATGTGAACTTTTCCTCTCGAATTCTTGAAATGTGAATTTTTCATGTTCAATTCTTGAAATGTGAATTTTTCGTCTTTAATTTTTAAAATGTGAATTTTTCATCTTGAATTCTTAAAATGTGAATTTTTCGTCTTGAATTCTTGAAATGTGAATTTTTTGTCTTCAATTTTTGAAACCTGAATTTTTCGTCTTCTATTTTTGAAACGTGAATTTTTTTATGTTCAATTTTTTGAAATGTGAATTTTTCATCTTCAATTTTTTGAAATGTGAATTTTTCATCTTGAATTCTTGAAATGTGAATTTTTCATGTTCAATTCTTGAAATGTGAATTTTTCGTCTTTAATTTTTTGAAATGT